GGGATGGACACAGGGAAGAGGTAACTATGGGGAGGAAGTGGGAGGGGAGCTGTTGCATTGTGGTAAATTGTAATCAATGTCATGAGACAAAGTGTACATGAGCTGCTGTATGGAAAGTGAATTTGTTCTGTAAATTTTCACCCAAATCACAATAAAAAAAATTGTACACCTGTAAAAAGTTGAATTGGCAGAAGTGTGATATATTTACAATAATGACAAAAACCGAAAAAGAGTAGGTGCCGTGGCTGCTGATATACAACCAAAAACCTCATGGGATTTGGTTTCTTTGTTAGGAGGTTTAGGGTCATGTTTTCCTGTCACATTCCAGTTAATTGGCCTAATATATTCAGTGCTTCTGTTCTGCCTCTTAGTTCATTGTGTAGTACCTAGGGTCTTGGATGCCAAGAGGCCATCCAAGGCAAAACAATTGGTTTCTTTGCTGGAGTAACAGAGGAAGACGGAGAGTCAAGAATAGAAGGAAGATATGGAATGTGTAGCTGATTTCCTCAATGAACAACTGCTGCTTTTGCCATGTGGCCAGAAGAACTAGTTGGTGCCTAGATACTAGTACTGAACATTTTGATAAAAGATTCTATAGAAGGATCCTGATCAAAAGGGGGAACATGCAGAACAGAATTTCAAATTCTCAAGGACTACAAAGTTCCTGGAGCTGTAAAGATTGGATAAATCCCTGAAACTATTGCCTTGGGATAATCTTTAGACTTTAAACCAAAAATATCCCCTGAAGTCTTCTTAAAACCAAACAGTAGTTGACCTTAAGTAGTAAAAAATATCTGCCTTGAGCATTATTCTCTTTTAAGAACTATCTATATGGCATCAAAGTGACAACAACAACTTGAAAGATTAGATAGAAATCTTAGGGAGCAGTGAATATATGTCAGTAGGGGAGGACTGAAGAGGAGTGCCACAAGCCAGGGAATGCAGATAGACTCTAAAGCTAGAAAAGGCAAAAAAAAAAAAAAAAATTGTCCATTATTTTGCATTTATAATAGTAGTAAAAAATCTCCTGTCCAACTGTTTTGAACATTAATGATGTTTATCTGATAGTAATAAATGCCAGGGTGTGAGGCAAGATTGATACTGGTTGTGATGGTTAAGATTATGTGTCAACTTGGCTGGGCCATAATTCTCAGTGGTTTGGCAGTTAATATTAATCATGTAATTAGACAGTTATGTAATAATAATGTAATTTGGCATTTATGTAATGATGTCATCCCCATTTTGTGATTTGATGTGGTTATCCTCCATTTTGGTATAATGTTGATTTTTACATATGACCCACCTTTAGAAACCTAACCATGTCGATAAGTGAGGTTGTTATTGTTGTTGTTTGTTGTTATGTGCTGTCAAGTCGACCCCGACTCGTAGCGATGCTTCCTTGGGTTTCCGAGGCAGTATCACTATGGAAGTAGATCGCCCCATCTTCCTTCCAAGGAGTGGCAGAGGAGTAGCTATAAAAGCTCAGAGAGGCCGTAAAACTTAACTAATTTTACACAGCTAATAAGTGGTATGGCTAGGGCTTGAAGTCAGACTCATCTATTTCAAAATTCAGGTTCTTTGCATTACCCTACGCTGCCTGTGGTTGCTTATGTTCTTTTTTTAGACTGAAGTAAAGAACTTGACCTAAAACTAGTAGTGTGCTGATGAATGTTAACAATGCTCTCATTTGTTGCTGATTTCTGTGTTATAAATTCTCCCACCATGGCCAATTTCAAGCTACAACATGATTCCAACAAACTAGGATATTTCCTGACAACGTAACCATCACTCCAGCACCATCTGGTCTGCTGTTGACTGTTCACAACAGATGGTTTCTGATGATCTTGTTTGCTTTGTCTCTACAGGGGCTGTACCAGCTCACCAAGGATATCATCATGATGATCCGAGTGTGTAAGATGTTCCGTCAAGGCCTCAGGGGATTCCGGGAATATCAGATCATTGAGTCTGCTCACAGAAAGCACCCAATCTTCTCCTTCTGGGATGTAAGCAGCTGGGATCACCAGGATTATGAGGGTTTGAGGGAGGTCCAATAAAGAGCACCCCATTTCCCAGCCCAAGCACTGAGCCAACTGAGAGAAAAGACAAAGGGTGAAGCAGATGGGGGACCCAACTGAAACCTTTATTAACTATAAGACTTAAATTGGAGAAGGTGACTGTGTCATCAGACAAGAGGGTTACCTAATACTGAACACTGCAATTAGACAGCCTTCCACATTTTACAGTCACAGCCAGCACGGGACCAAGGTGGGCCTCCACTGCAATAATAGGGCCTGCTGCCATAAATTCACAGCAGAGGACACAGCAGAGTGTGGGCTCAGAGGGAAGGAGAAGAAAGAGAATGATCATATCCAATTTCTCCTTCCAGATTCACCAAGGAGTTTAAGTAACTCCTCAGTGTGGAAGGAGAGAGGCTAGTAGTCTATTAGAGGCTACCATTATAACTCTCTCCATGTGGAAAATAAGATCAGGAGCAGGGAAGAAGCGCTTTCCATTCCATCAGGGATCAAAAAAGCCAGAAGAAATCCCGCAGTCATGATACAGTCAGAAGGTGGCACTGGACTTGTTCACCCCTAAGATCTTGTACATCCTTCCTTTCCTGACTATACTTAGATGTGGACTGTCGAATCAAAAAGCCTTGGGTTTGGATCCTAGATGCAACATTTACTAGGTGTATGATGCTTGGAAGTGGTTAAGTGCTTGGCTGCTAACTGAAAGCCTGGCGGTTCTAACCCACCCACTCCATGTGAGAAAGGTGTGGCAGTCTGCTTCCATAAAGATTTAGAGCCTTGGAAACCCTATAGAGCAGATCTTCTCTGTCCTACAGGGTCACAGTGAGTTGCAATCAACTTGACGGCAATGGGTTGGGTGATGCTTGGTCAAATTCCTTCACCCTGCTCAAGTGCAAAATAGGACTTGAGAAGGAAGATGCATGATGTCTGGCTCATTATAGGTACTTACCAAAGGTGGTGCAAATGGTTAAGTGCTGTAATTGAAAGTTTGTGGTTTGAACCCACTCAGAAGCACCTCAGAAGACAGGCCTTGTGATCTGCTCCTGAAAGGCCACAGCCTTGAAAACCTTATGGAGCAGTTCTACTCTGCACACGTGGGGCTGCCGTGAGTCAGAATTGACTTGACAGCACCTAACAACAAGCAAAGGTTGGCTTCATTTGTTCCTTTCTTTTTATTCTTTTTCCTCTATACTCTCCCATTCACTTATTCTTTTCCCTGTTCCTATTTTTCTCTCCTTCCTTCTTCTCTTTATCCCCCTTTCCCTCTGGGCCCCCACATGTTTCTCTGATTTTGCAGTACTGTGTTGCCAATGCTGTGCCAAAGAATAGTGCTTAGTTGGGACTTTTGATCAGAGGGAGACATTAGAGGGCCAGCTGGTAGGAGGTTTCCCATGGCTTCCTGCCCACCATGGTGGTCCAGGTATTGCAGAAGGATTTGGGATGCAAAATTCTAGGAGCAGTCTTGCTGATTCACCTTACTCCTCCTTCCTCTTTTCAGAAAAAGAAGCAGGGCCAAATCACATTTGACACCATGCAGTTCATTGCAGAGCAGGTATGCAAAGCCCTAGCCTTGCTGTTGGGGAGTTTTCTTTCTGCACCATGGCCTGGAAGAAGCACTGGGCATCAGAAGAGCTGGTTTCAGTTCATGCTGTACCATCAGCCAACCCAGTGTGTCATCCTAAGCCACCCACTTAGTCTCCTTATCTATAAAATAGCTAATCTCAATGATCCCTTTTAACTTTGGCATTCTAAGACTATGAACTCCCCTGAACCAGTTGCCACTTTATAGCTGAGCAGAACCAACAGGGCAGAGCTTTTGGACTTGGACCCCAAAGCAGAGGATGTGAGAGCCCCACACAGAAGAAAAAGAGTCAGGATGGTGAGGAAAGTCTTTGTCTAGAACTTAGGAAGTGGCCTGCATGTGAATTCTGCCTCTGCCCTGATCTCTCCATGAGACCCTGGGCATATCTCTCCCCCAGTTGGGTGTCAGATGAAGCAGTTAGATCAGATGACCCTAAAGCATTTCCCTGCTCTGAAGAGGAATTGCCTTTATAACTGTGTGAGGCTTTGTACTGTCTGTTTCCTGCATTGCATGAGTCATTGTTATCTTCCTGGCTTCTCCTCACCAAATTCTGGTTATTAAGTTAAATTTTGGAAATAAATTAAACATTAAAAAGAGCCTACCTCTTGATGGGGAAGATCTGACATTCTAACCTGTGTACAGGACCTTACTCAGCCCCAGCCTGGAGGAGCTGTGATGGTTTTTTTCCTAGGGAAAGTGAGAGAGAAAAGAACATAATAACTGGTATCAGGACCAAAGTGTGGCTTCTGTTGTCTGATACTGGACCTTAAATATATACCCAAGTTTCACCTTTCATACAGGAGAAACTGGGCACCTATCCGAGAGTCCTGGAACTATAGAGATGAAGGCAATGCTATATGCATAGCAGTAGAGGGAGAGAAGAGGGCACAAATGAATAAACCATTGTATAGGCCAGACCTCCAGGCTCTTGAATGGGTCATGTCTGACTCTGGCTCCAGTACTGATGAAAGAACAGAGACCTGATTTAAAAATCTGCTCTTCTCAAATATATAGAGACAGAAAGTTGATTAGTTGCTACCAGTGGCTGGGGGAAGGGGAAAATAGGGGGCTATTGCTTAATGGGGGAGCTCTGGTAGCATAGTGCCTAAGGCACTTGACTGCTAACCAGAAGGCTGGCGGTTCAAACCCACCAGCCACTCCTCAGAAGGAAGATGGGGCAATCTACTTCCATAGTGATACTGCCTTGGAAACCCAAGGAGCGGTCGCTATGAGTCGGGGCCAACTTGACGGCATAGAACAACAACAACAGCATTGCCTAATGGATACATCTTTGTTTGGGGTTGCAAAACAGACATGGAGGCAGTGTCTGACCTCCTCTAATTTCACAAGGTGGGAGAAGGATCAAGATATACAGCCCAAAGCTGATTCCTATGAAGTGAAGGTCAGACATGCTTCCACCCTCCAACCTTCTTACCGATTCTAACACGAACCATCCCTCCCACAAGACTTTGTACTTCTCTTCTGGGTTCGATAATTCGTCATAGTGGTCACACAGAGCTCACAGACAATACCATTATGGGATTTATTAGGGAAGTAACAGGTTACAATTCAGGATCAGAAACAACTCAGGATACAGTTCTTTGATGAGGACCTCTCTTTTCAGTTGTGCTGTAGGCATGTGTCTCTGTGGCCTCAGCCTCTCTACCCTGCAGCCCCTTGGCCTCTGCCCTGCTCGGGTAAGTGTTACAAAGCTCTTTTAGCTCTGCAGATAGGTGCCCAGAGAGGCACCCCACTCCACCAGCAAGCGTCCTCCCCAAGGGCACCGATCTTTCTCACTCTGTGGGCCAGGAAGCCCACTGTTCTGTCTTGTGCTGGTCTTTTGATTTTGCTACCTCTGTTGCTGCCATTTCTCTGCCTCTGTTTCTTGTCATCTCAGTGCAGGGATCTTGGGTCCAAGGAAGTGCTCCACTCCTGACTCTTCTTTCTTGATGATAGTGAGATCCTCCTTCTTACCTCTGGGATAGTTCATTTTAAACCCAGTGAGATGGCAGAACTGACCAATCCCCATATTAAGGTTCCATACACCTTATTTGCCCCATCCAACCCCCATAAGGGTGCCATGTACCTTATTTACATTATTAAGGTATCCAATCCCCTTGGTGGGCCACAAGCACTTCACATGTGCATAGTCCTAACCAGTCAATTGGCGGGAGTCACAAAGACCATGGCTTTATTTTTTTCATATTTTCATTACCACAGGGTGATGAAAAAGCTTGGGAAACAAATGGTGGTGATGGTTGTACAACACTGTAAATAGAATTCATGCCACTGAATTGTACACTTAAAAATGTTTAAGAGGTGGTGCAGTGGTTAAAGCACTAGACTGTGAACAGTCTGTGGGTCAAACCCAGGAGCCACTCTGCAGGAGAAAGATTGGCAATCTGCTTTTGTAGAGATTACAGCCTTGCAATCCCTATGGGCCAGTTCTACTCTGTCCTACAGGGTCACTATGAGTTGGAGTTGACTCAGTGGAAATGAGTTTTATATATATTATCTTTTAAATAATATTTTATTATGCTTTTGGAGAAGTTTTACACAGCAGTTTAGGTTCCCATTATATATATATGTCTCCATATCCAAATATATGTCTCCATATTCAAACCCAGTGCAATTGATTCGATTCTGACTCATAGCAACCCCCATAGGGTTTCCAAGGCTCTAAATCTTTATGGAAGTAGATTGTCCCTTCTTCCTCCTGTGGAGCAGCTGGCAGGTTTGAACTGCTGACCTCCTGGTTAGCAGCCAAATGCCTTACCCACTGTGCCACCAGAGCTCATGTGTATATATACTTATATTAAAAACAAACAAAAACAGTATGCATAGAAAAAGAGGAAACAAATATGCCAGGTGTTAATGGATAATTCTGGGTGGGGGATTATGAACAGCTATTTATTTATTTATTTATTTCATAATTGGTATTTTGTTGGTTGTTTTTAGGGCCAGTACAGAGACGTTATGAACAATTTGTACAAGATTCTTAATGTACATCCAAAAATCTAAATAGCCATGTAGTTATAATTCTTTTCTAAATTCTAGTGATGTTCTGGTTACCTAGTGCCACTCTGACAGAAATATACCACAAGTGAGATGGCCTTAACAAAC